CGTGCGGGCCCCGGGCCTGCCTTCCTGCTGAGCCAGCGCTAGCTGTGCGCGTCCTGCCCAGGAATGTCTCCAAGGGCCCCCTCTGTATTCCCGGTGTGCTGATAGCCCGTGAAATTGAGCGTGGCCGCTGAGGTTGTCTCTCTTGATGGGAGGACGCTGGAGATGACGCGCACTCTCAGCACCGGGCTCACTGGAAGTCATGGGAAATGACCGGACCGCGGCCGTGGCCCTGTATTCCACGGACAAGCTGTCCTGAGATCGGGAACAAGGAGGAGAAGGCGCGGTCGGCACGGGGGCTGCTGTTCGCTCCGAGGAAGCGCCCAGCTGTCCCCAGGCCATGGCGCCAGCATGTGGTGAATCCGACTTCCTGGGAAGGACAGACCTGCTACTACCACTGAGCGCCGGCGGAGAAGCCTGTGTCCAAGAACGTACAGCTCTTCATGGATCACAAAGATCCCGGGAAAGCCCTCTTCATCGGGCTGACCACTGCCAGCCTGCATCAGTCATCTTCGGGATGGCTGCATGCGCTGGCAACCAAGGTGCTGGGACCTACCACGCTTCCCTCGCTCTGCAGGAGTAGCTGACGGCACTGACAGTGCAAGCTGACATTTTCTCCTGCAGCCCAGCCATGGCCGTTATCTGCAGCCATCAGCCAGCCACCCACAAGATGTTGGAGAGGTCGATGCAGAACCTCTAGATGAAGATTAAGGCGAAGGAGAAGAAGGAACAGGTGGCCGAGGTCCGGAGGGAGCCGAGGAGGGCGATGGCCTACCACAAGACTTGAAAGTCCAGAAGTTTCCTGGAGAAGAAGAGGCGGTTCCTGGAGAAGTTGCAGGAGCAGCGGGCGCCACTGAGTGCACGGGCCACGCACAAAGAGGAGACCAAGCAGGCGGCCTTGGGCACGGTCCGCGCTCAACGCCCTGGACCTCGCGTTAGCATTGCCTGCTGAAAGCGGTTCGAGTGCCTGCCAGTGGAGATCTACAACGGAAAGCAGTGGAGAGGTGCGCCTAGGCTCCCATGGACATGGCAGGAGAAGACTTTTGAATTCTGACACCAGCA